AGAGAAATGAAGGATGGAGACCAAGCAGAGATCCACACGAAAGTTTATTTGTCAAAGTTGACAAATAAAGGCCATCTCTCTATAAAGGAGAGGCCCTGAGATGTTCCGGTGCTGAGCTTTGTGGGGTAAGGGTTTGGAGTTGTAGCTATGGCGCTATGGGACAGGCTGAGGAGGGGTGCTTGGGTCAGAGCTAGGCGAGTGGGACTAGCATGGGATTGGCTTAGGTGGATGGCACCATGGGGCTTTCTAGAGTCCAGGGGTTGTGTCCTTCTGGGATTGGTATAGGATTGTAGTACCATGGGGTAGGTCACGAATGAGGGTGGGGGGAGTTCAGGTAAGAAGTGTAGATGAACACACAGTATCTTTATTTTTATGTGGTGCTGAGGATCAAACCCAGTGCCTGGAACATGTAAGGCAAGTGCTTTACTACTGAGCTACATCCTTAGCCCCAGGAAAGCGAAACTTGTAAGATGGCGGTTAACATTCAAGATGGCTGCTCAGATGTTAAATCAAGACTGTATAACCATATACCCCACATCCAGTTTCCCTGTTAGCGTCATACATTAAGATGGTGCATTTCATATACTTACTGAACCAATATTGGTATATTAATTAATGTTAATTTTTTATTCAGTTTCTTGGTTAACGTCCTTTCTCTGTTTCAGAGCTTATTACTTGTAGTTATCTTGTCTCCTTAAGCTTCTCTGGGAGTTCCTCAGATCTCTGTATTTTTGGGTTTCTTTTTTTTTTTTAATTTAAAAAAAAAATTTTTATGTGGTGCTGAGGATTGAACCCAATGCCTCACACATGGCAAGCGCTCTACCACTTGAGCCACAACCCCAGTCCATTGTTTTTTTTGTGTGTGTTTTTGTGGTTGAATATGGACACAAGAACTATTTTTATGTGGTGTTAAGGATCAAACCCAGTGCCTCACACATGCTACGTAAGTGCTCTGCCACTGAGCTACAGCCCTAGCCCCCCCCCCCCCCCATCCTTGTGTTTTGTCCTCAGTTTTGAGAATTACTGGCTGGCATATTATAGAACACCATTTTCTTCCAGTTGCTGTATCTTTGCTTCATCCTTCTATGGTATGGAGTTAGGATCTCCAGGGAGATGTTCTGTGGAAGCAGAGATAGCCAGTTCTTTCCTGTTCTAAGCTGGAATGCCTCTGGGGTACCCTGTTAAGAATTCTGAGCAAAAATAGATGTATTTTATCAAGTTTGATTGAAAAGGGAATTTTGTGGGTTTTTTAATTAATTCTTCTTGATATTACAACTTCCTAGAGAAGCTGAAAATGCAGGCTCACAGTTGTGTTCATACCAAAAGTCTAAATGAAGAAATTGTTAACCCAAAACCTACCTACTGTTTCTGGAACAATTCAGTCAATCCTTGAACTTGGGCACATAAATTTTTATTAGAAATGCAATTGGGGATTTTGGAGATGTAACTAGTGAACTTTGTGTGGTTAAACAGAAACTTGTCGGTGTAGAACATTTAGTTAAGAGATAGGAAACTCGCCTGTTTGAGAAGTAATCGAGCGGCAGTTTTGTGTTCCCCTGATCCTCAGTTTCTTGGAGTAATAAAACCAATTGTGTCAACGTAAAAAGAGGCTTTGAGTATACAAAAGCACTTGGTAGATATTTGATTTTCAGAGAGTTTGGAATCATTGTCAGCTTTTAAAAGAGTAAAAAGTTACATTTCAGAAACGAGTGCAGCATGCTCCTGGTTGGTTTGAACTGAACGGAGCATCACTGATGTGGTTGGTCTGGGCATGACCAAGGGAAGATTTCAGGGCTTGAGCAGGCAAAGCATAAGGGACAAGGTGAACCTGGGGAGCAAGAGTCCAGTTGGGTCAGTTCCCATTTACATGAGGTGCTCACTTGTCCCCACTGTGTTTCCTGTTTTAGGCTGAGATTCCTGGAAACAATGAGATTGAGATTAGCAGGTAGATTTAATGGGGAGTCCTTTTTTGGGAGTAACACCTGTAAGGGCATAAAGGAAATAGGACTGGGCAGTAAGAAGAGAGGGCCAGTGACGTAGTTGCAACAGAGGCCTCAGCTACTCTTATGGGGAGCTCTGGAGTCATGACAGCCCTTTAGAGTTGTCTCAAATTTAAGCAAGGGAGCAAGTACATGTGTCCCCTCACCATCCAGCTACTGGATATGAACTGCCCCCAGGAAGAACAATTGCTCAGGAGGCAGCTGGTGTCCTGAGGGTTGTCAGCTGCCAGCATCCAGACAGCTAGTAAAGTGTGCTTCAGTAGTGAAAGGGGTGGGGTGGACAGCGCACCCAGCCTCTGTGCAGTCTCAGGGTCTGCCCAGCAAGGCAGGCAGCTGACTCAGCAGCTGTTTGGATCCTGTTTTCTTTGATCTTATCTTTCCCCCCACTTTGATCCTCTCCCTGCTCCCACACATTCCCTGGTACTGTCAGAAGCCTGGTCCCTTTCTCCCAGAACACAGCGCCATCCTACCATCCCATGATGTTCCTCAGCTTAGAAGGTCCTTCCTCCCCTCCTTCCACGAAAACCATGCTCCTCCGACAAAGCCAAAAGCTAACCTGCTATTGGATCATTTTGTCCTCCCCCCCAAAACTTTGACTTATATTTGTCTTGTTTACATGAATCTTGTGCTTTCCACTTATTGGTTTATAAATTTCATGAGCTTACAACTTACTCCTTTATGAAAGCTTTTATTCTCCCCATCACTGAGCATTCTGGTTTAGCACAAAATAGGCATTCAACAGGTGGACACTGATAGCATCAAGTAGTTCCAAGTTGTTACCTTTAGTTTCTTGGGGGGAAAAAAATCTCCCCTTAAAGGCACATCCCAGTGACTTGGGAGGCTGAAGCAGGAGGATTGCAAATTCAAGGACAGTCTTAGCAAAGGCCTGTCTCAAAAATAAAAAGGGGCTGAGAACATAGCACAGTAGTAGAGTTACCTGGGATTAGACCCCTAGGGCTGGAGGTAGAATCTTAAGACCCTTTGGCTCTCCCTCTATTTTTCTCGTGGGAAGGAAATGGAATTTACTTATTTACTAGAATTTGAGCACCAAGTGTGGAACAAATATGGTCTGGGCTATTTTAATATTTTTATTAGTTGCTAATGGACCTTTGTTTATATGTGGTGCTGAGTATCAAACCTGGTGCCTCACACATGATAGGCAAGCGCTCTACCGCAGAGTAACAATTTTGGTTTTTTATTGAGATTTAAAAAAAAAAAAAACATAAAATTAACATTTTAATATATACAATTCAGTGGCATTTAGTACATTCACAATGTTGAGTAATCATCACCTCTGTCCAGTTTCAGAATGTTTTACATGACTTCACAAGAAAACCCATTTCTATTGCTCTTGATCTGTGCATGACACATCAAGGAAGGGAGGGGCCCGATGTCTGAAGATTTAGTGAAACCCACCTTTGTGCAGAAATGTGGAGGCTTACTTTTGATAGCTCTGTTACTGGATGGGAAGTTACTTTTTGGTGTTCTGAGGGTTATATCTGGATGTCACTTTGAAGTTCCAAATTCCTATCCTCAGGGAACATCCTCCAACTTTCAAACAAGGATAGTTCAGAGCCATGCAGACCACACCTCATCATTGCTTAATATTGTATGTGGCGGGGAAGGAACAGTAAACCCCTTCTGTCAGTCTTTCTCATCTGGTGCCTTAAGTTTCTGCGCCACTGTGATTAAATGAACAAACTTACAAGCTCTGTCAGGAAGGGAGGGGCAGGCTCCAGGGGAGCAGATCCCAAACCCTCTTTCCGTGGCCTGGGTAGCACAGATGCTTTGTGCTAAATATCTTATTTCTCTCTGAATCTAAAATATATCCCATTTTAAAGATGAGGAAGCCAAGGCTAAGGGAGGAGAGTCACATGCTCAGGCTCACAAAGGAATGCAGAGTTAGGATTTGGCAGATCCTAGCATCCCACACTGAGGTTGTTCCAAGGAAACCCTGCCAGGAAGTTGGCCCACCCCTAACTTCTTACCTGTTCTTGTCTCCAAGTGCACTACAACGTGACAGGACTCCTCTCCCTACCCAAACTGAGATGGTAACAGTGAACCCTTTAATCGCCCCTCTCAGTGAGTCCATGACATCTGCAACATGTGACAAAGCAGGGGGGCAGATCAGCAGCTGATTTTTGTCCACATCAGGTCAAATATGGTCCAGAAAATAGGCTCAGTGGAGTAATATATATATATGTTTATTTCCAATGAAGGCAAAAAAAAAAAAAAAAAAAAAAAAACAACCTTCAATCTTAAAACCACTTTTCTGAAAATAAAATTTTCTGGCCTGGCAGGCTGTGGCATACCTGTAATTCCAGCAACTTGGGAGACTGAGGCAAGAGGATGGCAAGTTCAAAGTCAGCCTCAGCAAATTTGTGAGGCCCTAAGCAACTTAGTGTGACCCCATCTCAAAATTTAAAAAAATAAAAAGGGGCTGGGGATGTGGCTCAGGGGTGGAGCATCTCCCACCCCCATACCCCATAGTTCATCCCCAGTACCAAGGGGTGGGCAGGAATCCAGAGTGAAAATCGGTTTCCTGGAGATGCATTATTTTTAAACGTAACGTTACACATTACATAAGCATTTTAAGTCAGATAATAGCTTAAAAGATTGGATGTTTCTGGAGGGATTGGTGGTCTCCTAGACGTTGAGTCTTTAATTCTGATTAAGGCTATGAATAAGGACAGTATTGCAATTTATTTTATTGGTATAAGTTATACATGATTGAAATAACTTATAAGAAATGACTGGGGATGTAGCTTAGTTGGTAGAGTGCTTGCCTTGCATGCACAAGGCCCTGGGTTCAATCCCCGGCACCACTATTAAAAAAAAAAAAAAAAAACTTCTGAGCCACCCAAAATTTAAAGATCAGTGCAATACTGGGGTTAAAAACTTCTTTCAGGGCTGGGGATGTGGCTCAAGCGGTAGTGCGCTCGCCTGGCATGCGTGCGGCCTGGGTTCAATATCAACACCACATACAAACAAAGATGTTGTGTCTCCCGAAAACTAACACATAAATATTTTTAAAAATTAAAAAAAAAAAAAACTTCTTTCATACACCACATCAGCAATAGCTTTTGATTTTTCTTACCTCAACTATTTGCACTTAAGGTAGATTACTGAACTATGACAGTACTTCCTTAAACTTTGAAGAACATGTTTGTAAACAAGTAAAAGATCTAGATGAATGTTATTTTTTCAGGGCCTCACACATGCTAGGCAACCACTCTACCACTGAGTTATGCCTCCAAATCCCTAATTTAAACATCTTGAATATTCATGGTATAATTAAAACATGTCCAAGGTAAATTGAATTTGAACAAATATGTTGGCCTTTAAATGCCTTGTGTTTCAAGTTTAGAAATCAGACCATGCTAATGCCTTCAAATCTTTACATTTGTTAATTGGCAGAGAAAGTGTGGCCTTTGATGAACAAATTATCCTTTACAGTCAAAGTATCAAGATCCACTAATTGTTTCTGTGATCCACCTGACTTCATGGAACATACCATGCTACAGATCTGTTACTAGAAAAACACTATGATAGCATATCAAAACCTTCTTTGTTGTTCCATAAAAGCTAGAAATTAATCAGAGGGCACATTTTCCACAGGAGGGAATAGCTGTTTACCCCATCAGTCTGCAGCTCCTTCTGGAGAACCCCATCAGTCGAGGTTAGAGGGAATAAATGTTCTCTTTCAATATCATCCATAACCTCAGTGAAATGTTGGTCAGAATTTGCAGGTTTACTTCTGCTTGAGGCAGGTCTCATGTGAAGAACAACACTTGGTCCAGGTGAACCCCCGTGGGGCTCAACTTGCTTACTGGGAAGAGGGAAAAGTTGCAAGGTGAGACCTACACTTTCCACTGTGGCTGTAGGCCTTCCTCCTGCTACCTGCTCTCAGGCGACTCTTACTAAAATACAATTTTAAGTAAGCTCTGAAGGTGGGAAGCTTATTGGCTCTGTGTTTTGCATTTTCTTTTTTTTTACAGAGCATCACGGAGATCATGATCCACAGTAGACTGTGTGTAAGAGGAGCTGGGGGTGTCGGCAGAGTAAATTTGGAGAAGCCCACAATATTGGCAGAGCATAAAAGGGCCCCTGCAGGTTTTGAAGAGTTGGACAATGTATTTGCGAAATTTCTCCCCCAGAAAAAAGTAGATGACTGGATTAAGGCAACAGTGAACGAAAGCCAGGGTTTCTGTGGCCTGGATGGCGTAGTCCAGATACCTTTCAAAGGTGCAATTCTGAAGGACTTCTAGCTCCACCAGGGTATCCAGGAAAAGCACTATGTTGTAAGGAGTCCAGAACCCAAGAAAGAGCACCACCACAGCAAAGATCATCTTCACCGCCTTGTTCTTCTTTTCATTTTTGCAGTGCTGCAAGGTTCTGATGATCATGGAGTAGCAGAAGAGCATGATCCCCAAGGGGATCACCAACCCAAAGATGTTGATCTCCAGGGAGCTGAGAACCTTCCACGTGGTGGAGTTGACAGAGTACTTGGTTTTGCAGTAAGTGTGGTTGCGCTCGGTGTAACAAGTGCTGAACAAAAGGCCAGGGAGGGAGGCGAATACAGCCACTGACCACGTAGCCACACTGGTGATGACCCCATAGGTCAGGGTTCTCGCTCTCAAGGAAAACACCGCATGCACGATTGCCAGATATCTGTCGATGCTCATGAGCATGATGAAGAATATGCCACTGTAAAAGCCCACCAAGTACATCCAGGAAATAATCTTGCATAGACCCAGACCAAAAACCCACTGATCTGCAGCATAGTAGCCCCAGAATGGGAGGGAAAGCACAAAGAGCAGATCCGAGATGGCAAGGTTGAGCAGGTACACGTCAGTCATGGACTTGAGCCGCTTGTATTTGAACAGGACTAGAACCACCACGGAATTTCCAAGCAGACCAAACAGAAAGACCAAGGAGTAAAGAGGGGGCAGGAAGAGCTCCCCGAAGGCCTTGACTCCTTCTTTGTTACAAGGCTTGGGGATGCTTTCAAAGAGGTAGTAGTTGTTGTAGATGCTGTCATCCAGGGTAGTGTCTGCTATATCCGTGGGGTTCATTTTCCAAACCTGTGAGGTTCTCAAGGCAGGTCTGGATGCAACAGAAACAGCTAATGATGGGAAGAGAAAACAAAGATTTCTATAAGAAAAAAAAATAAGTCAAAATGGTGCTAAATGTGGAACACAGCTCCTCAGCCTGGGAAGGGTATAAAATGATCTGGGGCAAAGCACTTTGTAGCTAATTCCCCAGAGTGCCCTGCAGGCCAATGAAATAACCCAGGCCTTGACCGTCATAGTTTAGGTTCAAAGGCCAGCTCTGCCACTCACTCATTTTCTTATCCCTCTACTGGAACTCAAGTTTCTTTTTCTAACCCCCACCCCACCCCCGGCTTGGTTCCAGAGATTGAACCTAGGCATTTTTAACGACTGAACCACCTCCCCAGCCGTTTTTATGTTTTGAGACAGAGTCTCACGAAGTTGCTGAGGCTGGCTTTGAACTCATAATCCTCCTGAGCTGCCAGGATTACAAGTGTGCACCATCTCATGTGGCCAATTCTCTCATTTCTAAGTGAGGATAACTTAAGACCCCCTTTTCAAGGAAGTGTATTTTATTTTTTATTGAATTTTTTTGATATTTATTTTTTAGTTTTCGGTGGACACAACATCTTTATTTTATTTTTATGTGGTGCTGAGGATTGAACCCAGCACCCCGCGCATGCCAAGCGAGCGCGCTATCCCTTGAGCCACATCCCCAGCCCAAGGAAGTGTATTTTAAAGATTGTATTTAAGCTGGGGACGTAGCTCAGTGGTACTGTGATTGCCTAGCATGCCTGAGGCCTGGATTCAATTCCCAGCACTGCAACAACAACAAAAGATCCTCAAAGATAGAAAAAGTCCACTAACTCCACTTTCCGGGATGACAAGATCAACTGGGATTCCCCACAGAACTGGACCCAGACCCTTTGACAGAAAAATAAAATCTAAATATGGAGAGCTAAATAGTGTAGTATACCACTACCCCAGCTCCTTGGGGGTCTGAGGCAGGAGAAGCATTTGAACCTAAGCATCCAAGATTAGCCTAGGCAACACAGCCAGATCCTGTCTCTAAAACCCAAGCACCCATGAGCTGGAACATGGCTTGGTAATAGAGCATCTGCCTGGCATGTGTGAGGCCCTGGGTTTAATCCCCAGCACTGCAAAACAAAACACAACCAAACCAACCTACACAGAAGGGCTGGGCAAATCACTCAGTGGTAGAGCACTTACCTCACATGCATAAGGCACTGGGTTTGATCACTAGCATCACAAAACCTTATACGAAAGGCCAATATTTCAGTAAGTGCTTATTTCACTAGAAGGAAACCAAGTTGGTCACTTGCCTTTATATAAAAACACTTTGTACTGTATAGACTTCAAAGAATGTTCACCAGTATGGTACAATATATTCCCATATTCCTGTCCCTACTCTACCTCCACCAAAAATCTTATACTCTAAGCTAAGCAAGCTTAATTGGTCCATACAGAAGATCTATGAAAGATTCAGAGAGGTCAAACAACTTCTAGAGACCAAAGAGCTGAGCGTAGAACTTGCTCTTTAGGCTCCAAGCCCAGTGAGCTGCCAGTAACCCAGGTCTCAGGAAGAGATGGGGGAGGAAAATAACTCTTATTAATTTATTACATTTGCTAGTTTCTGCGGTATACATAGTCCCACTATAGCCAATTCCAAACTACCAATGGGCTCACAAAATTTCCGAACAGGTAACGACAGACTCTTGGGAGCTGGTCCAAGCCAGCTCCAGCAACCCACTGGCAAGACCATTGGCTCTAAAGCACATCTCACCTGGGTACAGACCTGACCTTTGGGCAGCAGGTAGCTAGCTGTTCGTAAGCCAATTTGACACTAATATAGCAAATGTATTTTGAAGGGCCTTTTGGGAGGCTTCAAGATTCTGATAATCTGAGGGAACTTTTTGTTCTTTTCATCAAGCTACACATAGAAAAAAAAAAAAAAAAAAATCAGTCTTCTGCACCAAATCTCATTAGAGTGGGAAGGGGCCTGACAGATCTAGAAAAGATGCATGATAGCCAGACAGAAACTTTCCACCCCCCCAGTCACCTGTGTCTCCCATCTAAGTTGTCCAAAGAGGTTAAACCCTCCTTCCAGTTACACACATGCCCACCTGTGTATCAATTCACAGATGAAGGACTTTCCTCACACCCCAACATTCCTTATTGAACCCTTTTGCATTGTTAATTCACTTCCAATGCCTCCCACCACACACCCAAATGCACAAACTGTTTCTCAAAGAGATTTTGGTTTCTTCCTACAGGGGAATGCTAAAGACCTGTGGCATCAAAGATGTGTGTTAAATGAATAATTCTACTCTTTCCCACCATCTTACCAGTGAAAACTAAAGATCAAAACAAGACTGAGGAGTTAGGAAACTATCAGAAGTAAAAAAAAAAAAAAAAAAACTGGTAAATGTTTGGAATTCTGTAGGCCCATGTGTGTGGTGTTTCTTAATCTTGGAGTCTTGATAGAAAGTTTGTATATTTAATGAAAAATATCTGTTTGTTTAGGATGTGTGGACTTAGGCAAGATGTGCTCAAGGGGAAGAGCCCTACATGTATGGCTACCCGTCAGAAGAGGGTTCCGAAGCGTGGGGACAGGTAGAGAGCATGTAAGTTCCAAGACCGCTGTCTACCCTGAGACACAAATTACCTATATGCCCAGGTGTCTGGGTTGGCCAAGTAGCTGGCCAGGATGCGTTGCTGCCTTCAGGCCACAGAAAAGTGCTTGGCTGGAGGCCCCGGGAATGTCCCCATCCCCACTTACCTTGCTTTTGTGAACGTGACTCCGAGGACGGTCTGTGAGGCAATGCCAAGCCTGATCAAGCAGCACAGCTCTATGAAGGACGAGTGCCTTTGAAGGATGTGTGGCTTCCTGTGAGCACCGGCTCTATCCCTCACCCATCGATGCTGAGTTCAAGTGGGTTTTTTTTTTTTTTTTTTTTTTTTTTTGATAGAAGCAGAAAGCAGAGAAAAGTGACTCATTTCCCCAAACTGAAGGTTAGGAAAATTTGCTTTCTTCTGTAAGAGGAGAAAATGGAGAGGAAAGCCAAGTAAGCTTTTTAATTTTAAAAATTTGTCGGAGGGGCTGGGGAGGTCGTTCAGTGATAGAGCTTGCCTCATATGCATGAGGCCCCAGGTTTGATTTCCAGCATTGGAGGAAAAAATGTTGGAACATGGGGACATAGTTTAGTGCTGGAGCTTCCCTAGCATGCATGAGGCCCAAGATTTAATCCTCACACACCAATTTATTTATTGGCTTTTTGGGGAGGTGAGGTGGGGTTTAACCAGGGTTTGAACCCAGGGGCACTTAATCATTGAGCCTTATCCCCAAGCCATTTTGATCTTTTATTTTAAGACTAAGTTGCTGAACTTGCTATCCTCTTGCCTCAGACTCCAGAGTATCTGGGATTACAGGTGTGCCCTCCCCACTATTTGTTGACTTTTTTAACGTAGAAGGATTTTTTTTTCCTTCTAACTGGCTTATATGCTGTAGAATGTTCCTTCTGTTTTGGGTCATTGGGCTGATAGTTTTTTCCTCTTCATGAATACACAAGGGCAGGTACTCAAGATGTATGATATTCTCTAAACAAGTGGGATCTGAACCAGACTGAGAAGGCCAGGAAAATTCAAGGAAAAGGATATTCCAGAATAGAGAAAAATTTGTCCAAATGAGCGTGTCTATTTGTCCAAATCTTCCCTGACTTGGACGATTTTAGCCAACCACATTCTTAGATTCAATTATTTGTCTTCAAAGTTGTGTCAGTTGAACTCTCAAGTCCCTTCTGCTTAGAAACTGTGCCATTTCACTGATTAAATGAAAATAGCTGAGCCTGATATGTTGCCCTGCCATTACTGGACTCCCAAGAAATATCTGGGTGAGTCCCATCAATTTCTGTGTGTTTAGATTCAAAGTAGGTTTCTAGCTAGGCAAGGTAGTGCATACCTGTAATCCTAACAACTTGGGAGTCAAGGAAGGAGGATCACAAGTTCTGAGGCCAGTGTCAACCAATTAGTGAGGCCCTATCCAACTTAGTGAGACTCTGTCTCAAGAAAGTATTGAGGATGAAGCTCAGTGATAAAGCGCCCCTGGGTTCAATTCCAAGTACAAAAAGGCAAGTCTACAGACCCAGCTATCCCACTCCTTGGTTTATACCTAAGGACTTAAAAACAGCACACTACAGAGACAGCCATATCAATGTTTATAGCAGCACAATTGCTAAATTGTTGAACCAACCCAGTAGATGAATGGATAGGTAAACTTTGGTATATATACACAATGGAACATTACTCAGCATTTACAAGAGAATAAAATCATGGCATTTGCAGGTAAATGGATGGAGTTGGAGAATATAATGCTATGTGAAGCAAGCCAATCCCAAAAAACGAAAGGCCAAAATAAAATGTTTTCTTTGATATGAGGATCCCGGGGAGGAATGGAGGGCAAGGGGGTAGGAATGATTGTGGAATGAGTTAGACATCATTAACCTAAGTACATGTATAAAGGTACCACTTTGTGTACAATCAGTGACTTGAAAAATTGTGCTCTATATGTGTAATATGAAATGAACTGCATTCTGCCCTCATGCATTACACATTAGAATAATTTAATAAAAAAGACAAGTTTAGAAATTGTAGAGGTTACTTTTGTGTAGAAAATTGGTCTTCAAAAGTAAACACCCTCCCTCAAAAAAAAAGGTATTAAGTTTTTAAGTAACATCTATTTCATACATGAGGAAGCAAACTCAAGAGAGGAAAGGTGGTATGCCATGACATCACACCAGTCAGAGACACAGCTGGGCCAACACCCACACTCCTGACATCACGTTCTATTGGGCTTCATTTCAGAAACCTGAGCAGAAGAAGACTCAGTGTAAACCCTGCCCCAAACTATGATCCACAGCACCTGTTGCCCAACATGAGACCACAGCGACCCCTGGTGACCAGGCTTATTGCAACACCAAGACATCTGGTAAATTCCCTAGCCAACATGTACTAGACCAACATCTCTGAAATTGAAGCCAGAAACTCCCAAAGCTTTCAGGAAGAATCTCATAAGACTCTGCTATAGAGTACCGTGTTAAAATGAGAGAAATGCGCCAGGCAGAGCTACACAGGATGATACCCAGGGACAATGAGACAGTAACCAGAGTTTAAAGTCAGCTCATGTATGGCAGGCGAGGTTAGTTGGGTTACAAGGGCCTTCCATCCATTGGCTAATCTAATAATTTTGTGGGCTCAAAACTAACCACATGGCCCCAGGGACTTCAAGTTAGCACACAGTGGCCTCTGGTTATGAGAACCTAATAAGTGGAGGGGTTGGGTGTGTGGACTAAGCTGCTCTAAAAGGGAAACATTACAGCCAGACATGGTGGTAAATACCTAATCCCAGCAACTCTGGAGGCTGAGATAGGAGGCATGAAGTTCAAGGCCAGCCTCAGCAATTGGACTGGGGATGTAACTTAGTGGTAAACAATTCTTGAGGTTCAAGCACCAGTTTAAAAAGAGTAGGGGGAAGCAGAGAGGGGTAGGCTAGGGAGAGTGGCTACAAACCAGGACTACAAAACTGATTCATCTGAGTAAAGAGAACTTTGGTAAGGAAATAAAATATTGCAAATAATTTTTGGAAAGATAACACATTTTCATGTAAACCTGTATGTCCAAGAAGATTAAGAAAAAACAGAAAACCTGTAACTGATTAATACTACTTACCAGAGTTGTGCTGAGCATCTAAAGTTCTCAGAGAATAATTTAGACCTTAAATGTTTATATTAGAAAAGAAGAAAGGCTAAAAGTTAGGGAGAAGGGTGTTTGACTGGAAAAGGAGGCAAGAGAAAAGTAACAGGGGACAAACCAGGGGGGTCATAAGAAAGAATATAAGAGCAGAAATTAAACAAGTTCAAAGGAAAAGAGACCCATTAAAATATTTGAAAACACAAATAAAACTGACAGACCTGTAAGGAAATTAAAGGGAGGAAAAAACAACAATTTTAGAATGCAAAGGGAGATATGCAATTTTTAAAAAATATTATGAACTTTATCACAATAAAAGGTAGATAAATCTTACCAAAACTGGCTCAAAAAATATATATAAAATCTGATGATTTTTAACATCATCCAGTAGTTTAAATGCTTGACACAAGAGCAGATTCATACACACTCAAAAAAAGGTTCCACGAATTCTAAGTATCCAAGGTATCTACGGTTTTAATCTCAGGCATCTTCCCTCCCCTTCTGAAATAAAAAAAATACTCTAAACTCATTTGTTCAGTTAGTACTATAATTTTGATAACAAAACTGGACAAAGTAGGAAAAACATAAAATTGTTCAATTTCACTCATGAATATATAGGGCAAATATCCTATATGAAATGTTAACCCATAATGAACAAGTTAGTGCATTTCAGAAAAGCAAAGTTGGTTTAATACTAGAACATCTAATTTATGCCTATCACCACATTAACAGAGAAAAGCCATATGTCATAGAAAGAGCCCTGAATAAGAAAAAAAAAATCTATCATTTGTGACAATATAGATGAACCTGAAAGACACAGATAAGTGAAATAAACCAGGCACAGAAAGACATACTATGAGGAGTCTAAAAAACGCAACTCAAAGAAGCAGAGAGTAGAAAAGTGATTACCAGGGCTTGGAAGAGGGAGGAAGGACTGGGGAACGTTGGTCAAAGGCTACAAATTTCAGTTGGGGGGAAATAAGTGCAAGATGTCTACAGTGCAATATGTTGACAAATATATACTTGAAAATTGCTAAGAGATTTAAGTGTTCTCAACACACTTCAAAAAACTATGAAGTAGTTAATGCATACGTAAATTAGCATGATTAAACCTTTATACCATGTATACCATAAATATATATAATCTTTATTAGTTAAAAAAAACAACAGTATTGGTAATTTAGGTGGTGGTAGGATGGGAAGTCAGCTTCCTAAGCACAAAAAAGAAATTTTACTTTAGAAGGTAACTTTTTAAAAATGCTAAAAATCCAACAAACCTGCTATCCAATTGTAAACAGCAAAAGTCATTCCTTTAAAAATTAGGACCATGGCTGGGCGTGGTAACACATGCCTATGATCTAGCAGCTGGGGAGGCTGAGGCAGGAGAATTGCAAGTTCAAAGCCAGCCTCAGCAAAAGCAAGGCGCTAAGCAATGCAGCAAGACCCTGTCTCCAAAGAAAATACAAAATAGGGCTGGAAAGGTGGCTGAGTGGTTGAGAACTCGAGTTCAATCCCTAGTACCCCTCACCAAAAAAAAAAAAATATATTAGGACCATGACTGTGATGCCCACCACCAATTCTATTATAGCCAGTAGGAAAATATAAGAGTTAAGAAGATATAATGAATTCAACAAATTAAACAAAAATCAGATGTATACTTAACAGTGAACAAAGCCTTTTTAAAATTTTCATTTAAAATAACAGAACAAAAAGCTTAGAAATAAAAGGAGATGAAAGGCTTGTATTCTGAAAACTACAAAATGTTGTTGGAAGAAATAAAAGTTACAAGTAAATGAGGAAATGACCCATGCTTACAGACTGGAAGATTTAGTATAGTATTACCCAAAGTGATCTAAAGATTCAGTGGCATCCCTACCACAATCTCAACATCACTTTTTCCACAAATAGAAAAATCCATCTTAAAATTCATATAAAATCTCAAGGGGCCTGCAGAGCCAAAACAATCTTGACCTACACTTCCTGGTTTCAAAACTTATTACAAAAAGCCATGTTAATCCAAATAATGTGAAACTGGCACAAACACAGACACAGAAATGGAATACTCAGAAACCCTCACAAGTATGGTCAAATCTCTTTTTGCATTGTCTTTATTTCATCCCATTCCCTCTGTATAGTAATGATGTCACTTAGTACATTCTCTGGGGGATGTGGTCAAATTAGCTTTGAGAAGGGTGCCAAGATTATTCAATAGGGAAAAGACAACACCATTTATTGAAAGACTTAAGAAAACTGGAGCTCCAAACGCAAAAGAATAAAGTTGAATGCTTACCTTACACAAATAACAGCTAAACTATAAAACTTTGGGAAAGAAATATAAGGGAAAAGCTTCATGCTAATGAATTTCACAATGATTTCTTGTACCAAAAGTACAGATAACAAAAGGAAAAACAGATGAACTGAACTGCATCAAAATTTAAAATTTCACCACATGGTGGCGCTCACCTGCAACTGAGTGGTAGGGCTCTTGTGGAGCATGCAAGAGGCCCTGGGTTCAATCCCCAGTGACACTAGAAAGAAAAGGACAAAGACTTTTTGATTTGGTGAATTTTAACCAGGTTGAGTTTTTTATGAGAGAGAGAGGGAGACAATTTTTTTAATATTTATTTTTTAGTTTTTGGGCGGACACAACATCTTTCTTTGTATGTGGTGCTGAGGATCGAACTCCGGCCGCACGCATGCCAGGCGAGCGTGCTACCGCTTGAGCCACATCCCCAGCCTCCAGGTTGAGTTTTCAAGAAAATTTTTTAATAAACAGCCAGGTGCGGTGGCACGCACTTCTAATCCCAGTGGCTTGGGAGGCTGAGGCAGGAGGAATGCAAGTTCAAAGCCAGCAGCAGCAACTTGGTGAGATCCTAAGCAACTTAGCAAGTAAAAATATCTGGGGAGGTGGCTCAGTGGTTAAGTGCCACTGGGTTCAATCCCTCGGTGCCAATTTTTTTTTTTTTTTTTTTTTTTTTTTTTTAAGTTTCTGTGCATAAAAGGATATGATCAAAAAAGTGAAAAGGTGGGTTGGGGTTGTAGCTCAGTGGTAGAGCGATTGCCTCACATGTGCGAGGCCTTGGGTTCGATCCTCAGCACCACATAAAAATAAATAAAAATAAAGATTTTTTTAAAAAGTGAAAAGGCAATCTGCAGAACGGGGGTAAATATTTGCAAATCATATCTGATAAGTGGTTAATATGCAAAATATTTAAAGAAACCCTACAACAAGAAAGACAACCTGATATAAGAATAAAATAAAGTATCCAGAAATGAACTTCAGCAACTAGTCCAAAAACAGATTGAAGCATTTTATCACATTCTAGTCTCCAGATTGAAATCTACTGTGTGAAATTCAGAATTTTTTAGTCCCCCTTGGGAACCTGAAATGGAAAGAACTGCTCTCTCCATACCTGCTAACATCAAAATGTTCCATCACCTAAGGTTAGTCCTTCAGAACATATCCTTTGTACCACTGCCCACTCCATGCCCACCTGATTCACATGCAGACCACTGAATCCCATTCCATAATAACCAATTCCCTCTTTCTGCCTTTCAGTGTGCCCTGACAGACTCTTCCTCCTTCCTGAACCCATTTCAATATTCAGCACAAATGTGTATATTTCAAGAGTATAATCAATAGGCTGGGAATGTAACTCAGTGGTCGAGGGCTTGCTTACATGTATAAGGCCCTGGGTTCCATCCCCAACAACAACAAAATAGATTATAGCATTGTAACACTGCTATATTGTACATGAAGGGACAATGGGGAATAGGCACCGCAGGGATTTTTTTTTTTTTTTTTAAGAGAGAGAGTTTTTTTTTTTTTAATATTTATTTTTTAGTATTCGGTGGACACAACATCTTTGTTTGTATGTGGTGCTGAGGATCGAACCCAGGCCGCACGCATGCCAGGCGAGTGCTCTACCGCTTGAGCCACATCTCCAGCCCCACCACAGGGATTTTTTAATATAGAGATTTAGCCAGGCGAGCTGGTGAACACCTGTAATCCCAGTGGCTCAAGAGGCTGAGGCAGGAGGATTTCAAGTTCAAAGCCAGCCTAAGCAACTTAGCACTAAGCAACTCACAGTTACACTGTGTCTCTAAATAAAATACAAAAAGGACTGGGGATGTGGCTCAATGGTTAAATGCCCCTGAGTTCAATCCCTGGTGCCAAAAGAGAGAGGGGGGGCGGGGAGGGAAGGAGGGAGGGAGAGAGAAAGAAACTTAGTTGTCATACCATCAAGAAGGTGATATGAAGAGTTCTGAGGGAGCTGGCAAGAAATTTTGTTCCTGCAGCTCTCAGACTCCTTGGTGGGACCTGTGGAGGTAATAAGTACTATGGTGATTGGCAGACAGACTATAGAGGAACATCATCATCTGTGGCTGCCTTCCCCCACCCCCCAGGTGAAAGGAGGAGAAAAACCTATCAGAAAATAATGGTGCCACCTTGAACAAAATAACAGGAATGTCCCACAACACTACTCAGCTAAGTTATATTTCTTTGTTTGATTCTCTTGGCTTACCCAATAGGGAAAAGAGGAAGAAATGTCATTAACTACTGTTGACAAATGATTCCTCTTGCATATAGTTAATTGAGAAGTGGGACCAATTTGGTCAAGGTTCAGTCAAGCTGAATTTTAAGAAAATGTGAAATCGTCTACATTTCATTACACAATGTCAAAATCTCACTGTATAGTTTTCTGTTACTGTTGTAACAAATTGCCACAAACTCAGAGGATTAAACAACATCTGTTTCCATGCATTTTCCAGCTTGCTGAGACCACCAGCCTTCCACAGTCTGTGGGCTCTTCCAGATTCCGTCAGCACTGCGGCTTCTTCTCGCCCCTGGCATCAAAATGTTCCATCGCCTACCTTCATTTTATAAAAACCCCTGAGGGTGACATCTGGCCCACCCAGATCATCCAGGATGATCTCCCTTTCTCCAAGTCTTTAATTTAGTAATTTCTGCAAAGTTCCTTTTGAATGTAAAGCAGCACATTCACAGGTTCTGGAGATAAGGACATGGACATCTTTATGGGCTACAATCCTGTATCACATCGCATTGAGCAATATTACCACTGACACCAGAAAACTCTTACTCAAAAATTATTATATTTGGGCTGGAAATGTGGCTCAAGCAGTAGCGCGCTCGCCTGGCATGCGTGCAGCCCGGGTTCGATCCTCAGCACCATATACAAAGATGTTGTGTCCGCTGAAAACTAAAAAAATAAATAACTATTTAAAAAAATTATTATATGCATACTAACAGATGCAAGTTCTCCAAGATTGTAATTTTTGCTTGAAAGCTCAGAGGGTTTTATTTTGTTTTGTTTTGTTGTTGTTGTTAACCAAGGATTGAACCGAGGGATGCTTAACCACTGAACCACATGCCCGGTAGAGACTGGGTCTCACTGAGTTGCTCAGCACCTCACTTTTTGCTGAAGCTGGCTTTGAACTAGCGATTCTCCTGTCTCAGCCTCCCAAACCACTGGGATTACACGCATGTGCCAACACGCCAGGTGAATGCTCAGTTTTTATCATTGGCAATAGTCAATGGTTTCACTTAAAATGACAAGCTTGCTTCATTGATTTTTTAATATCTATTGAATAAAATTGTGGTTATTTCATGTAAGATGAAAATTCCATAAGAATTCAAGGGTAGAGATAACAAATTTTAGTTTTTACTAAGATTATTAAGTAAAATTGGTACTAGGAGAACAGAGCAAAAAAGAGTTAACATTTTTGAGTACAATTTGAAGGCACTGAATTAATTTGTCCAAAGATCCCAGCAGTTTTGGCCTGCAACTGCTTTTGCATCCTCAGAACAAAGACAAAGAGTGAAGAACAAAGTTATAGTGTCAGTATGAATATTAATTTGATATCAGATCCCCTGGAAAGAGTGGCAAAGACCTACCACCTCCTACCCTCACCAGGGGTCTATGAGCCATATCACACCTTGAAAATTGCTATTTACAGAAATAAAACCTGCCAGCAGATGGCAGTAGGTACAGTAGCATTTCCCAATTTGCATTAACCATTATTTAGGAAACTGATTTCATTAAAAAGGAATTTTAATTTTTGCCTTAAAGTTCAAAGATAGCATCTCTTTTCAGAAATTAAACTAGACCAAATAAATCCATAAAACAGGTTACTTCAGCTTACAACTCAATGACCCAACAACTGTAAGTACTATAGGCCTCTCATTTTGTCACGCAGAACACGAAAAATAGCACATAGCCTTGGTACAGGAACTCTGCCATTTTACTAAATAGTGCAAAATTCAAAAAAGTGTTCTGCCAACTGAAATTACTCTAAAATTGAAGCATTTCCCTTAAAGAATCATGTATAGAGTTTAATAAAACATCATTTTTTCAATTAAATGTTATTCAGTCTTTTTCTTTATTAAAACATCAGGGTACTGAGAAATAGCTTAAAGAAATTTTAATGAGACCATCTATATATTGTCATCAGGCTTCTTGATTGATGCCTTTTTTTTTTTTTTAATAGAGAAAAGGTAAAGAATTTTATTTCTAAAACAGTATATTGATGAATATCATCGATGATTCTAGAAGGCAACCAGGGGAAATGAAATTTTCTTGTAGGAGCGCTGGTCATAGCTTAACTTTCTTAACTTTTAGTCAAACAATACGAACAGTTTAAATTCGAAGCACATATTTGTCAAATTGTTCTGCGAAATGGTTGTTCCAATTTATATTTCAAAACAGAACTTTTCTGTGCCTATGTGAGGATTCAATTATTCAACAAAATTTTCTAAACATCTGCATATCTAGCACCATGCTGATCTTAAGGTGAATGTAAATTGCCTAGTGGCACTGGTTTCCTAATCCAGTGGAAGAGTCAGTCAAAGGTATATGGACACCATTAACATGTACTATGTAAAGTAAGATTTTAACAATTGGATAGTAAAATGAGATAAGGTTAATATAAAGCATAACATTGAATAAGTGAGATATGAGATACGGTTCTGTAAGAGAACAGAAATCCCACCTGGCTCTTGTTCAAGTAAAAGAGATCTGGGAAGAGTTGCTCTGTGCCTGCTATATTTGCAAAACGAAGAAAACATGACAAGTACTGACTGGCAAAGCAAACCAGACACTGGGGCCAGAGGCAAGGACTGGAGAAGGGGTGTGTTAGGAGTCCACCGGGCTCCAAAGACTAACTTCCCCATCCCCGGAGAAGAACAGTCCAATGGTGAGCACTGCTAGCTCACATGATCCTTACCCACCAATCAGACTAGCCCTGGTGGCTCACGTGATCCTTACCCACCAATCAGACTAGCCCTGCTGGCTCACATGATCCTTACCCACCAATCAGAAAGCACCCCATGCCAACTGTCAAACCCTTCAACCATTAAACTGTCATAACTGTAAAACCTCACCCGGCTCTATAAATATGCAGAGCTGTTCCTCGGTAAACGGGCATTTTCTCTGACGACGAGCCTTGTTCGTTCTTTCAGGGTAGACAACCTGTTCCAGAATGTAATGTTTAGAGCGGGACATTAATGGTTAACCAAAGTTAGTCAGAAGCTTAAGTCATCATAGGCATCAGCACCTTCTGAAATCAAGAGCCAACCCCATAATCTCATCAATCCTCTCACACTGAATGTTAGCTCTTGGTCAGAACACAGTAATGAATATGTGCCTAAGACCTCATCTCGTAGGCTGTCACTTAGGAATATCTCTGGGATGGTCAACTCCCACCTTCTAGTTTCCTTTCGAGTTCCTGATGGGTTTTCTTCTGCCCTAAGGCCAGGCTTCCCTTTCCTACACGCTCATGGGGCTGCAGAGCAGTCTTTCTTAGAGCTTAACAATGACAATATGAAAATCCTTCCAATCCACTTTGTATTGAAGGAACTATATACAAACGGAATGAAGGGGGATTGGGGGGGGGGGGGTTCTTGGAGCTGAGGTTGGCTGGCCCCATGGATTTTTTTTTCCCCCCAAAGGGAGATGCCATCAACTCATGGCTAGGTCCCTTCACCATCCTGAAATAGGATCTTCCCATGGCCACATAACCAAGACACCTATTTGTGCCCAGCAGAGCTGAAAAGAAATATGGTGGCAGGCTGTTAAGGGTAGCCTCTGCTCTGAAGTTGCAATTGGGGTGTGTCTGTGCACCCTCCCAGCCAAATGCAAACAGGGAAAGAAAGGACACTTCTGCCTCTGAGTGGCTAGCTTCAAGGTACAAGGCAAATGAGTGGCAGAAGCCAGTCACCACTGTGTGGGTTGACTTCAATTTCACAGGTCCTCAAGGCCCAGGCAATGAGGTAATCACGTAAAAGTTACTTGCCTGGAGTTGCCAGCTTTGCAGGATTCACTGGGACATGAGCCTAGTGGTCCATGAGAGCCACTGGGACATCTAGAGCTGTCTCCCTTGCACCCTGTCAGGGCTCAGCCAGCACAATGAACTACAGAGTCTGAACTCATGTCATGCTCTCAGCCATAAAAGCCCTTACTGCTTTCCTTTCGTAGCTGACTCCAGGTCTTCCTCAAAGACCAGTTCGTCGCCATCTTCTCCTCTAAGTCACCTCTAACCTGGGCTTTAGCCTGAAGTCATCCTACATGGAGACTGCTCCATCGTCACCACCCAAAGTGGAACCAGAATTGCACCATAATGACTTGCCAGGGCTTTGGAGTCAAGAGCCCAAACTTCATTCACAGTCAGGTTCTGCAACCTCCAGGCTGTGTAACCCCAAGGAAGGAACTTAAAACTGTCTGAAATCACCTTTCTCATCTTTAAAAAGAAAAGATGGGAAAGCCTCCATCTGAGATACTGGGAAAATTGAACCGTAATGAGGTAAACACTGCGCAGGGATGAGGAAATAGGCATTTCTAGATTTATGGCAGTCCCAGATTGCGCTGGTAGAACTGGAATGACCAGATGGAAGCAGTACTGGGGACTGAACGTAGGGGTTCAATGTACTGAGCTATGTGTCCCCAGCCCTTTTTATTTCTTGAGATGTCATCTTGCTGAGACAAACCTGGCACTTGCCATCTTCCTGTCTCAAACTTGGAGTTGGATTATTTGCAGCATTTAAGAGACCAGTGAGGAAGCCCTTGTCCACTGTGACACAGCCACCAGGGGTCAGTGATGGTTCTCAGTCTATCCAACCAACATCATTAAACACTAACTCCTGTGTGAATTCCTGCGGGTGAGGTGGTTGTCCCATTACCAACACCTTGAGCAACACAATATACCTTTCCTCAACACGGGGAGCCGCCATTGTGAAGCTGGCTCCAGTGGGTCTGGGTTCCCAATGAGCCACTCAGTGAGGTCCTTTTCCATCCAGGACTTATTTCTCATCAGGACCCTGCATAGCAGCCATGTCTTCCCACATGGTCTTTCCTGAGGGATACATGCCACAATCTGGGTGAGAAAGCAGTTCTCCTTTGATTGACCAGAGCCCAAACTCAGAAAGGTTGTGAGCACCATCAGACCCTCTCTGACCTTGAGCAAATTACTGAACCATTTAAAGGAGGAACTGTTCAATTTTCCTACCTCCATGTCTGCTGTAGGGCACGAATACCCCAGCATCACCACCCTGATTTAGAAGAGCCTGAGTGCGTCCTACACTATCTTCACAGCTCTCCTTGGTAGGATTAAATCCAAGTTACCTCCTCTGGTACTCTTCTCAATATTGTATTTTTGCTTGTCCTCCCTCCTCCCTGCCAAGGTCTCTGCTCTCTTGCAGCCCCACCCCCACCCCAAACTAAGTTTCACAGAGATTCTCGTGGAGTGGTCTGGTTATAGGAATATAGACTACATCTTAAGTAGACAGAATTCCATTGCAGGATGAGGAGGACAGTGGAACTCAAGACAGCTAGCAGAGAGGCTGGCCCATGTGGCTGGGCCAGGGGAGGTCCCAGATGCCATGATCCCTTGATGCGAGTGGACCAGGAAGAGAGAAGGGCATTGCAGAGGACATTAGGAAGGAATGGGGATGTCTGCTACTCGGGGGAATCAGTCAAACTTTATAGCACTTGCCCAGCTTCTCGGCTAGTGGCGGACAGCAATTCAAACTTGGGTCTGCCATGTAGTGACAGAACCCAGGAAGAAAAAGGCAATGGAAAGCGAGGCCAGGAGAACAGAGGTAGAGAGGGCAACTGCTGCAGTGACCGACACATTAACAGAGAAGCACTCATTAGAGTGA